GTTCTCTTTTATACACCTTGAGTAGCAAGTTTGAATATGGACCAAAATTTCCTGTATGGTGCAATTGATAAGTAATCTAATATTAAATATTACAGCATTACTTGTCAAATGTTCATAACTGGCATATTTTATATTGTTTCCAAAGCACCCTGTATTTCCCTTAGCTTCCATTTTCTGTCATTCCAAATTACAGCTATGATATCAGTATTTTCAAGACTACAAATCTCATTAAAAAGAGGTGTTGCGGATTTTTGGGTGGACCATAAATTCTTTGTTGATTTTGTTGTATCAGTCTGGCAATGGCATTTGCTTATACTTGATTTATGACCTCTGCCTATCTTATTTTGTTGCTCTGACTTCTACATTGCAAAACAATTCTGCCTTTTCCTTTCTGTCTCTTTTCCCATACAAATTCCCTTACAAATTCCCTTACAAATCAACATACTTATAAAATCTTTGTTGCAGGAATTTACTCCATTCATTTGATGGAGTAGGCTTATTCCATAAAATTTTATTATATAATAAACTTGATTAGTTGTATATATCTTGTATATATTTTGCTAAAACAGGCTAACAATTGCCTCATTGCAGCAAGTTAGTCAATACATTTCTATAATCTTTATCACTTAATCTATTACAGACTGAAGTATAGGAAATCTGTAGCCCTCCACAAGTTGCTGAATGACAATTTGTAGCACAGCCAATCAATATGGCTGAGATAATCCAATAAATATATGTAAAATATTCATAGGGTTTCTGGTGCATCTGTAAATATATTCATTAAAATGGATGTAACAGTGCAATTCTATAGAACAACGTTTCTGAATCTTGGCAACTTTAAGATGTCTGCACTTCAACTCCCAGAATTCTCCAGCCAGAAATTGTTTTTTTTACTGAGACATTTAGCCCAACATATTTGAAGGGCAGCAGGATGGCAAAACAGAAAACAGGCCGATATGTTTGACTCATTTATGACTGCTAACATGACAGTTATAGTTTTCTCATATATCTTTCCTCAAATGAACAGCCTCAACTTCAAAATCAGATCAGAGCATACAGAAAATTGGTGCAGTTCAAGGCAAATAGAGACCATGTAGCAATGTGCTTTGCAAAGGCAAGGCAGGCAATCATATTCCAGATGTTACAATATACAAGTTTCCCCATTTGTAAAATGTTGAGGTATATCTGTAAGATACAAAAGTGTCTAATGTCTAAACTATGATGGTGGTGTCTAAATTCTCTATAATCCTCACCCACACTGTCACTTTCTGCCGAATCGTAACCATTCCTTAGTAGACTCTTAGTAGAGGGAAAGTGACTGATTAATCTAAGATTCAGTAATTTTGAAATGCAATCTAGTCTATCTTTACATAAACAAAGCCTGAAGAGTGTTAAGCTGCTTTATCCATTTGAATAAGAAATAAGAGAATACTGTAAGAGATTTGCACAATAAATATAAGCTGTACTGTGATCTATTTTACACTGCCTTTGTATCAAAGGCATAATCTGCCGCACACCTCTGGCTAAATTTAACGTTCAATAAATTGAATTTTTAAAATGATACACGTTTGATCTAGAAAGGTAATAAAAGATGAAAAAAAGATGACAGTCTTAAGCGAGGGATCATTTCTGCTTTTCCAGATTTGTTGGCTTTCAGCTCCCATCAGCCTACAGCTGCATAGCCAAAAACTACTCTACAGTTTTTGGAAACTAGAGAATTGCAAGGGTTCACGTTCAACATCTGTAAAGGGTGGAAGAAGAAAGATCTGTTTATTTGTACCGAGCCCTCTTTACCCTCCCTTCCGTCGTGGCGACATTAAGAACGAGGCACCAGGTGAGGCATCGACCCGCGCGCGTAAGCGAAACATTCGGACAGGTAAGACCTGCAAACAAACCCGCCCACGCTTGATCGGCCAGCTTGCGATTGGCTGCTTTGGCATTCCACGACCTCAACCTCGTTCCATCGCCTCTGCTTCTTCATTCGTCGAAGCTGTTCAAGCCCCGCCTCCTTTTCCATCGATCTCTTGCCACAAACGCATCTCTTCCCCACCCACACATTTAGTGACCGTAGACTTTTTATTAAGAGGTAAACACGTTATATGGTTGCCCATTGGCTCGGTATCTCTCTTCCCTCTGTTTTAGCTCTATGGGAGGAAGTGCTCGCTTCCGTTTGCGACAGTGCCGTTAGGGAAGATGTCGCTCAACTGACGGGGAGCACGTTTGAGGAGGACGTGAAGTAGAAGAAACTCCTTGGAGAAAGTAAGGGGTAGCAAGGGAGGATAGAATAGAGCAGTATATTAAGGCAGAATTAGTAAGGGGTTAGGAAGAACCCGGTGTCCTCGAGATATTTTGGATTTTTTTGGTTGTTTTTATATTTGTTTTAATTGTTTGTAAGCCTCCCAGAGTATGTTTTACTTATGTATGTATGTATGTATTTAATTTTTATTGAAAAAGTTCTTTTACAAAGTGAAAACAATACAAATTAAAAAAAATAAAGTAAAGTATGGCAAAGAAAGGGGGAAAAAGATATGAATAAGTGGCTTCCGATTTTCCTTACAGTAGTTATAAATGCATTTGTATTTTATTCTCTCTCTAAGATTACATCACGGCTCCTTTCTTTCCATATTCTACTCTTTCTAATCCTCAAACCCATGAATTTATTTATTCATCAATCAATCATATTTATATAGCCACCGATCTCATGAACGTGATTCTGGGTGACGTACCGTAAAAAACAAACCTTAAAAAAGAGACAAACATTAAAAACTATTCCATAATTAAAAACACCAATATTATTAATGTGGTATAATGTGGGAGATAAGAGCATGGATCGAATTCTCTGTCATAATTACACATAGAGGCTTTCTTGTCCTGTCCAAATGTGTTGCAGATGTCTGCCTGTAGAAATGATGGCATTCATGCTGCTGGCTAGCTAGTTATGGGCTTCTGGAGAAATTGCAATATACATTTCAGGTAATAATTGATTTTATATAATAGTTTTGAGGATATGGACAAGTAGGGAAATTGGGTGTGAGTATGACAGAAAGCATTTTCCTCCTAAGCAATTTTCATTATTCTTGCCTTTTCTATTATAGAAAGAAAACAGTTTTCCAGTTATATCCATACATTGCCCAATAGTAACTAAGCAAAAACCAGATGGCTGATGAGGGTGCAGGAAAACTCCAGCTGACACCAATGACTGAAGACTTAGTAATGAACAGTGAAGAGGGAGGAATAGAGACAGTCTCAGAAAATAAGGAAATAGAAGAGGATTCTCAGCTGGATTCCTGTAATCAAAATGGCACCAAAAAGGTTGTACCTGGCATAATTTATCTTGGTCATATCCCTCCACGCTTCCGGCCTCGGCATGTCCGAAACCTGCTTTGCGTCCATGGTGAAGTGGGACGTATTTTCTTGCAGCCTGAAGGTGAGCTTGTATGAGTGCATTAGAAACAGTAAGCCGTTCTATGTATGTGGAAAAGAGAATGCTAAATAAAGTTAATATACGTTCTGGTATAAAAGACTGGGTTACCTGGGGAACCACTGAATGTCATTTCTCATTACCCTTGTCATTAATGTGGGGGGCAGGTGAAGGGCATGGTATTCAGATGGAAGCTGTCTTCAGCTGGGTGTACTATTAATTGAAATGCTGTGCAGTTTTTATCACTTCAAAAGGAAATTATTAATGGTTACATTTTACACTTGGAGTAAGTTGGTTTAAGGATGAAATATGTATAAACCAATAGGTATGTGTGTGACTGAGCTGGGCCTAGTCCAAATTCTGTAGTTTATGACTCTTTTGTCTTTTTGCATTCCTCAGAGCGATTTATCCGAAAGAAAAAGAAGGCGGCTGGTAGTAATGCCAAAAACTTCACTGAAGGTTGGGTGGAATTCCGGGATAAGCGTGTGGCAAAGCTGGTAGCTGCTAGTTTACACAATACTCCTATGGGTGTTCGTAAGAAAAGCCAATTCCATTATGACCTGTGGAATATAAAGGTGTGTTACCTGGGACTGATTACTCTGTTATCTCTTCCTAATCTGATTGCTATTGGGAACAACTCAACCTTTTTTTAAAAAAAAGATGAGGCTCTTCAAAGGAATTGAAAGTTAATGGTTGATGCAAGTTTTTATCTCCTGGATAGACTGATTCTGACTTGATGTTGTGAAAGTGCTCCTTCTCCTGCATTTCCACCTTCTTTTCATGAAATCTGGTGCAAGATCAGTTGCTTTGCTAAACTATATTTGGATTGGCAAAACAGTTCAGCCATATATAGAGATGTTGGAGGGATTAAATCAATTTTTATATGTCCTACAGCTATGTTTTCATATAGCATCCTTGTTCAAAATGCGATGGGTTGAATCAAGAAATGGTCAAATGGCACCCCATAGGCCATCCTCATCCTTAGAATAATTCTTAAGCACATGACAGTCCTCAAATCAATTTGTGATTTAATGTTTTACTCGCTGTAAAAGATGTAATGAATCCCTATGTGCATGTGTGCATTTGATAAATAGAGTACATTTTAGAAGATTAATAGAATAAATATATTTCTTGAGGAATTGTTTTGGAAGCACTCATATCTCTTCTCACTTCTTTAAATGGATTGCTAGTGTTCAAGCACATGGACTCTATATCTGTAAAATCTGTAACTTTTTTTCGTTTGGTCAAGGGATGAAATTCTATGAAGATGATTAATTTCAGATCACAAATCTATAGTGCACTGGATTATTTCTTTTCTCTCTCTCTCTCTCTCCTTCTTATCTTGGGAGTGTGATGGATTGCTCAGACTTGTATCAAGATGTAAGTGCTTGCAGTGAGCTTTTCCGGTTAGACTGAGGGCCATGAATGGTCCCACATTTGCCATTGAACTTCTACCACCAGATTCTTTATTACAGGTTTTAACCAGTTCTAAGGAGGTCAGATTGTTCCAGCCCATAGATTAATATCTGTGAGGACTAGAGTAGCCTTAAATAATATGGAGAGTATTTAAGCCTGGGTTACAGGATGGTCAGTTCTTCTCACCCATGCGTTGTTATATGCTGCTACGATAATCTTATGACCTATTAACTAGTTTCCCTATCTTTCTCAGTATTTGAACCGCTTTAGATGGACTCACTTGAGTGAGCAGCTTGTGTATGAAAGGCAGGTGCGGCAGCAGCGCATGCGTGCTGAAGTTTCTCAGGCCAAGCGCGAGACTAATTTCTACCTGCAGAACGTGGAGAAAAGCAAGCACTTTTCAAAGAAGGGCAGTCAGGGAGAACATGCCGAAAAGAGCTGGGGCTTCGTTCAGCGCTGTACTGAGGACGAAATCCAGACGAGCAAAGGAAAGAAACGTCTCAAGCAACAGCTAGCCCGGTCTGCTGAGATCCAGCAGAAATCCCAGTCAAACAAATCTCTGTTGACCAAAATCTTCAATATCCAGCAATAGAGATGGACCTGTGGACTGAAGGACCCGCTCATGATCCTGGTCTAGCTCTTGGCAGCCAACTTTTGCAAGTGGAGCAAACCAAGTCCGCCATTAATCCTACTAGAGGAAAATGCTTGTGTTGTTTCAGTAAGTACTTGGCCTGCTGTATTGGTATGCTGGCGATACAGAAGTTGCAGAGTTGCCTCCTGAGGAGAACATTTTCTTTAGGGAACTATGTAGAGCAGTGTTTCTCAACCTCGGTCGCTTGAAGATGTGTGGACTTCAACTCCCGGAATTCCCCAGCC